GGGATTACCTTGCTTGCTCTCCTTCTTCTTTAACTCCCAACAATTAGACTTGTAGTGTCCTGGTTTTTTGCAATAATTACAGGAAATTCCTTCTACCTTATTCTACTCAGGCTTAGTGAAAATTTGCTCCTTAGGGTTATACTTATGGTTTTTCCTTTTTCCATTCTTCTTAAACTGTTTTTTCTTTGGTCCCAGAGTAGCAACATGTGTAGATTCAATTTTGCCTTTCTTCTGTCTCTCCTCCTCTAGAACACATTGGTTTATCAACTCATTCACACTCCATTTGTGAGTACTAGTGTTGTAATTAACCACATAGGTTTCAAATGACTTAGGCAAAGCAAATAACAACGCATAAACAAGGAAATCATATCTAAGTTCATCTTCAGATCGCGTAGTTGATAAACAATCCCATATACTTTACTGATGAATTCTCTAATATTCCCATGTTGTTTAAATTTTACAACAAAGAGTTGGGAAAGCAAACTCATGATCATGGCCTTTGTGGAGTTTATAAACTGACTATTGATAGTATCAAGGGTTTCCCTAGAAGTATCAGAAATGGGAATGCCAGCCTTCAGTGGTTCAAAAATTCAACTTTGAATAATAAGAAGAGCCATTTTATAGGCTTGTTGCCAACTGGTATATCTAGTGTGAGCTTGGTTACTTGCATTTGTTGGAGGTTGTAAAGGTTCGAGTTGTGTGAGGCAATTGTCATATCCACAGGCTCCCAAGACTGTGTCAATCTGACTGCTCCATCTCTTGTCCATTCAAGAGTTCAATGGAGAATGATTGAAATTGAGAAAATAGGTTTTGAGTGTTCAAGGCTGCCATGCAAATATGAATACCAAATTTACACATTAGGAGTGAAATAAACAAACTACAAATGACAAAGTTATATATAAAATCACCCTCTCTCCTTTGGGTTCAAGAATGATTTCATAATAACCAAGTGAGTTTAATCACACTACAAGGCAAACTACACATGTATATAATGACCATTAATCACTTAAACCTCTGGGTTCAAGTATTTAATAATAAATATACACACATGAAGTTCCCTTGATCACTCAATTAAATCACGATAAATAATGTAACATTTGGGTTAATCATTCACGGGTTCAATGGAATGGTCAACTAATGCAAAATCACAAAGTATCTGATACCAATTTGAGCCCCAAATGCTTTGGCTTTTGGTCCTCAAATTGATCTTAAGAACAAATGAATAGTCAATCATTATATTGCACATTCCTTAGTTTATATATAAGCAGAGAACAAAATATGATTGATGGTAATAATGTCTATGCATGATCATTTAAAAGTAAAATTAATGATATTCACCCTTATAAAAATTTTTCATTCAATTAAATTAAAAAAAGGAACCTTTAATTATCAAATATAATACAAAAAGAGCTTATTTAAGGCTGAACCGAGCATTTTATTGCCAAACAAAAGTGCAAAAAAGCAACTTAATTTAGAATAAATGGTCAAAAATATATTAAATAGGTGTTGATATACTAAATATCCCGTGAACCGGTCAAGAACCGGTCTAAAACATATTGAACCGGTCCCAAAACCTATTTTGGTGAGTTCAAAACCGATTTGGTTCGAATGGACCAAATTAAATTGATCTGAATGGTTCGGTGTGTGTATCGTGCCCGACATGGTACCATGGCCACGATGGCCCACCGTATACGGTACGGGTTTGTCGAAAATGGGTCATAGTTTACTCGAAATTTTCATCTTCTTTGCCCGACTTGCTCAATCGGGTTTTGTGCAACCCGAGTTAAAACACCAATTTTAGACCATTTGTTTTCGGTCATTTACGGCGATTGGTCAGCCTCCAATAGATCGGATATGGACGACAGTCAACTAGGGATCTGACATATATTTCATCGGAATCTGGCCAAATCGCCAGTAAATGCAATTTTCGTTTTTAAGCATTTTAGACGGCTCTAATACCAATTTGTAGAAAAAGAATGTTGGAAATCGACATAACATTCACCTCTAAGCATTTTAAAACTAAAGTGAAAATCAAATAGGCGCATACCTTCCATTTTGGCTACTCAGGACTTGAAGAAAACTCTTACTCAGTTTGCTTGTCTGAGACACTCTCCACTCGACTCCAGGCTTCCAACGATGGGATAGAAGCGACTAAGAGGACGCCTTGCCGAGTGGTGACAGACTCTATTTATAGGTGCTCTTGAGGCATTCAGAAAGTCCTCCCATCAAGGACTTTGAAGTTTTTGAACACGTTACATTTTGCTTCCGTTCTTTATTAATTAATAGGAGTCTATTGATCTCTTACAACGTGGTTTTCAACGTTACCACTCCAACAAATATGTAGAGTGTAAAACGTTCCATATATAAATTTCAAAATTGGGTTAGTTTTGCATTGACAAATTTACCTTCTTACCAAACAGACTTTTAGTGTAATGGATGCAAACACAAATTCCAATAAAGCATATGCATTTTTTTTTATCAAAAGCCCACTTGAATGGAAATTTACTTCTTTTTATTAATGTACTTTTACATCTTATTATCAATGTAAATATGCATTGGAAAATATGTTTCATTTGTCAATGCATAAATGTAATAATGCCAAATACAGGCAAAAGTGAACTAGAGTGCAAATTTACCCCGAATTGGAATTTACACTCCTTTTGCATCGTTTCCAAACGCAGCCATAGCAGCATAGGTTGTTGAACGAGCACCATTTACACTCTCACAATTAATCAAAGGCAATTTTGTAATTTCAACAATTTTCGTAAGAGAGATTTTTATCGAGTTTTTTAAATATTCAAGGGATGTTTTTGTTAAAATAAAACTACATATATGCTTTTTATATTTATCAGAAACCTTAGGCAAGGTTTTGTATTTTACCCTTTATTTTAAAAGGGTAAATTACAAAGACCTTCCCTGTACTATGGGGTCTATGACAAAGACCCCCCCCCCCCCCGTACTTTATTTTGTGACAAAGACCCCCTTATACTATGACCGTGAGACAAAGACCCCCTTGACCGTTAAATCAGACGACGAAATGCATTAAATTACCAAAATACCCCACTAAACTTTTCTATTTTCTTTTTTTGCCCATTTCTCTTAAAACCTATTTAACTTGTTCTTTTCCCTTTCTTCTCTTCTTTTCCCCTCCCTCACCATCCTCTCTCGTTCTTTCTCTCTCCCAACTCTCCAAAATGAACCGCCATGGCCTCCTTCACCATCCTCTCTCATTATTTCTCTCTCTCTCAATCCTATTTAACCTATTGTTTACATGATCGAAGAAGCCACCGTGCTCGTCGAAGATGGTCTTCTGTGGGTAGCCTAAAGCTAGCTACTTCTTGATGTGGCTGGTCGAACCGTGAGACATTGCAGAGTAGACGAAGAGCCTGTTTGGTTGGGTTGGCCCAGAAATCATGGAGAACCATCAATCAAAGATGGTGAATTCACGCACCAGGGAGGCGTATATGGATACATTTTCGGGTTTGAATCCTTTCATCACAGTGTTTGAGAGATTGGAAGACATTGTCAGAGCTTGTTCGACAAATCCTGACATAGAAGGAATGAGGTTGGATCCAAAGACCTGTTCTTGGACAGCCTTGAATGAGTGTCCAGGATCCGAATCAACAAACTTGGCATCGTCGGTAAAGCAGATTGATTGGGACTATGGGGTTTTAGTTGGCACAGGGTTGCATTCCTTGCTTGTAACTCCATTGGTCGATGGGTTGACAGATTTCTTCATCCACCCGAGCATGTGATTGAAGGACCGGTCCTCGAGGACAAGGATTATGATGGTTTTGATGGGTGACTGGTTAGAAGCAACAGCAGAGGAGAAGGTGATGAGCAGGAAGAGGAGAAGAGTGGAGACATGAGGATATTCTCTGGTTTTGAATCTTTTCATGTGTGGTAATGACTAATGAAGAGGTGGAACTATAGCAAAGGAGATACTCCTCCAATTTCTCTGTGAAGTTTGAATGAACTGGGGGTCTGGGGCGGAAGTTTTCCCAATGAAGTATTGTGGAATTGGATTTTCTACAATTGCTCAAGATAGAGCTAAAATTGTCTTTCCACAAAAGATATTCAGAATTATAAAGCTCAGAGACAATAAAATCATGAGATTCAGTTCAAGAACAGAGAAACCGGGGAGGCTCTGATTGATAGATGTAGGTTGGAGTCTGAGAGCATATTGGGTTTTTTCTTGGACAGATTGTCCAACTTGCGATGTTGTAATTGTAAAAACTAGTAGGCTGGATTTGTTCACATATGAAACTTGAGGTTAAAATTCCTAGCAGCAGTTGATTCAACTCTAATGCTTCTGTGGAGTCACAAGTTCCTTCTGTGGCAATTTCACCTGATGAAATAAAATGTACAATTCTGTATTTGCTCTCATTGAGGAAGAGATGGCTGGAGGCCCTGCTTATTTGGTTGCTATCATTGTTGAGTACTTACGGAGTGCGGCTGTGGAAAAACTCCCAAATCTGTATGTTTTGACTATACAACTACTAGCTCGTAGTGATCATTATGCAGAGCTTATTCTTCTTGATATCGAGTAGAAGAAAAGGGAGGAGAGAAAGGGGAAGAAGAGAAATCGGGGAAGATGAATAGTATTTTTTCCGAATAATTATTACAAAGATAATATGGGGATTTAAAAATATTGCAAGGGAGGATTTAAAGGGAAGGCTAACGAAAGGGGGTCTTTGTCTCACGATCGTAATAACAAAGTACAGGGGGTCTTTGTCACATACCCATAGTACGGGGGTCTTTGTAATTTACCCTATTTTAAAAGAATAACTACCATTTGTGCTTAAAACATAGAGGTAGTTTAAATATTTTACCCTTTTATATATAAACCAAGGGAAAAGCCCACAAAACCGGTTGAAGACGTGAGGTGACAAGTTGTTTAACATGAGGACAAATGTGCTTCCCTATTGGATGTGGTGGATTCCTCCGTCAACGTTTTTTTTTTTGGCTCCAATTAATTACAGATTTACAGTTGGAATTGGGAATTTGGAAACAACTGTGATCACGGAGCTGCGGTGTTGGAAACAACTCATTCCTCCCTCTGCTGCGCAGTGTTTCGCTTTCCCCATGCTACCAGCCTACCAGTAGTCCAGTACCAGACCAGTCTTCTGCAAAACGCGTTGCGCGTTGACTTCTGTTCTGGGTCATCGTCTACACCAAGATTGGTTAAATTGCAACACGCAAATACCAAAACCTACAGCAATTAAGCCCGTAACCGCATCAACAGAGTCTCTCCTGACCTATGTTCAGAACAATGTATCTTCCATCATCGCTTCTATCTTTCTACTTCTTCCTCTCCTTACTTCTGTCTCTGTCCGATCTCTCACACGCCCAACAAGCTTACGTTAACAACAAGCAGCTTAATTGTTACAATAACCTTTCTGTAACAAAAGGGTTCCTCTGCAATGGCCCCCAAAAGTCTTGCAACTCCTATCTCACCTTCCGCTCCCACCCTCCCTACAACAGCGCCGTCACCATCGCCTACCTATTAGGCTCAGACGCTTCAGACATCGCCAAACTCAACAACATCTCCGACATCGATACCGTGCCCATCGACATACTCCTCATAGTCCCTGTGAAGTGCACCTGTTCAGGTAATTTCTACCAGCACAATGCCAATTACACCTTGAACTCTGCGTCTGAGACCTATCTTTTAGTAGCTAATGACACTTACCAGGCCCTGACTACCTGCCAAGCCATGATGGACCAGAACCCGTATGAAAGTCATAACCTCTCTGTTGGTATGCGACTGTTGGTTCCTCTTAGATGTGCTTGTCCTACTAAGAACCAGACTGAAAGTGGTGTAAAGTTCTTGCTCACTTACTTGATTAAACAAGGTGACAATGTTTCTGCCATTGGTCAGATGTTTGGTGTTGATGCAGATAGTATTAATGAAGCAAACGAGTTGCAGGAGAATAGTGTTATCTATTATTTTACACCCATTTTAATTCCTCTTAAAACAGAACCAACCCCGATCCAAACTGCATCCCCCCCGACACTACCGCAGTCTCCGGAACAATCTATTGGCCCTGATAAGGGAAGTAAGGCTTCGAAAAAATGGATTTTTGTTGGAATCGGAATTGGAGTTGGTTTACTTTTTATGGCCTTGTCTGGGTTTCTGGTTTGGTTCACTCGTGTCCGGTCTCGGCAAAGCATGCCAATCCCAGAAGTCAAGAAGCTTGGAACAGACTCTGTCGACTACTCCGCCATATCTGAAAGCCAGCAAGTCGGGTATGTTTCATCTGAAGGGGTTAGATATATAATTGAGTCCTTGATGGTGTATAAATTTGAGGAGTTGCAAAGGGCTACTGAGTTTTTCAGTGAAGACCACCACATCAAGGGATCTGTTTACCATGGTGTGATAAAGGGTGATAATGCTGCCATAAAGAGGATGAAAGGAGATGTGTCAAATGAGGTCAATATGTTGAAACAGATCAACCATTCTAATGTGATTAGGCTTTCAGGTTTCTGTGTGCATGAAGGGAACACCTATCTTGTTTATGAGTTTGCAGAGAAGGGTTCGCTCAATGATTGTCTTCATGAGAAGGGGTATAAGAATTCTTCTTCCCCTCTTGGATGGAAACAGAGAATTCAGATTGCCCATGATGTAGCAGATGGGCTTAATTACCTTCACAACTATATCAGTCCTCCTTATATCCACAAGGACTTGAAGAGTGATAACATTCTCTTGGATGGTAACTTTAGAGCCAAGATTGCAAATTTTGGACTGGCGACAAGAGTGGTTGAAGAAGAGGAAGGTCTGCAATTGACAAGGCATGTGGTCGGAACACATGGCTATATGGCACCAGAGTATATTGAGAGTGGAGTGGTTACCCCAAAACTGGATGTATTTGCATTTGGGGTGATTATGTTGGAGCTTTTATCAGGAAGGGATGCAGTCAGTGCCTCTGATGATGAGAAAAAAGGAGATCTCTTATTGTCTGCAGAAATAAAACAAGTACTTGAAGGAGAGCATGTAAGAGAGAAGCTGAGAGATTTCATGGATCCAGTTCTGAGGCATGAGTACCCCTTGGACTTGGCCTTCTCCATGGCCCAATTGGCTATGAACTGTGTGAATCAGGATCTCTGTTCTCGACCAAGCATACCTGAGGTCTTCATTTCCCTCTCTAAGATTCTCTCGTCTTCATTGGATTGGGATCCATCGTATGAGCTTGAACGCTCCAGGTCTCTTGAGCTTGGAAAGTAAAGCAACTGTTCCACTTATGAAGACAAGGTGGAAAGTTATACAGGATGGAGACTCTCTATGGTAACAACCATGCATCTTGCAGTGAGCAGAACACAGTATCTCCAATGAAGCTACTCTTCTAATACATGCAGAATTCAAAGAATTTATGCTCTACAGTCTGGAGTTCCTTGTTTAAAATAAAGGGACGATTTATGCAAGTCTGCTATATCAGAATACTGTCATAAGAGCAAGAACAACTCCTTTATTGTATTTCTGTATCAATTTCGATGCTTGAAGAGTGGGCATTGGCTCAAACCAACAATGATTTCTTTTAGTTCCATGGAAGTTAGAAAAAGAAGATACTCAAATTACCGTTTTTTATTCTAGAGTTGCTTGTTGTTTTAAATAAAGGAATGATGTATGCAAGTCTGGTGTATCAGAACATTGTATTTTTGTATCAACTTCAATGCTTGAAGAGGCATTATCTTTTTCTTTTATCAGTAACAGTAATTTTATTAAAATATATATGGAAATTACAACCAAATTGGAGGGTTAAGATATCTTAACCCTCTCTTACAGAACTGAAAACACCTATTACAATATAGCCCAAAAGAAATTAGTTCTTCCCACCCCCTGTTTAGCCAAGGTGTCAGCCGCGGAATTAGTACTCCTCTTGGCATTATCTTGAAGAGGCATTATCTCAAGCTATGAGCTACTCACTTTAGTGTCATAGAAATAAAAAGTGCTCAAAATGGCTGCAATTCTGTATCAACTTTGATGCTTGAAGAGTGGGCATTAGCTCAAACTGTGAGTTTTTAGTACAATAGAGACAGGGGCAAAAGCTCAAATTTCCAAGTATTTTATAATGTTATGTCTCCAATTGCATGAATACTTTCTCCTTTTTATGTTTTTCACTTTTCTCCATAATGTGCTTGATTAAAGAAAATAACTGTGAGGATTAGGATGATTTTGATATTCTTATTACATACATTGGATTGTTTGGTCAGTGCTTTACAGTTCAGCATATTCATCTTCCTCCATTAGGGCACATTAAGGCTGTGTTTGGTTTGAAGGAAAAGGTAGGGAAAGGAAAAGAAATGTAGGGAAATCTGTACACACCTTGTATGGGTTTCTCTACCTTTTCCTTCAAACCAAACACAGCTTAAGTGAAGCAATGACCTGGTAATTAATTTCTAAAATGGTAACTAGCAGAAAACATGGAAGATCAAGTATCAGTTTCGGGTCTATTCATGGAGCTGTTTGTGGTATTTTTCTAGTACATAAAAAGTGAAGGGTTTTTTTTTTTTGGAGTCCAACTACAAGGAAAATTGAAACGCTTGGTCGTTTAAATAATATGATAAATATCAGTTGTCCCACTTAAAATAATTATGAGCCTTCAAACAGGAAGCCAGATCTAGTTTAGCCTATGGATATTTTTTTGTGTTGCTTTCTTTCTTGTTTCTTCCACTTCCATTTGCCAAGGTATTATTTCATCCACCAAGGTCCATAAGTGGTTTGTCTCTTCAAGTGACAATCTGCACTTTGGAGATTTCAAGTTCCCCTCATTGTGTACAGTCTATGGCAAACTGCACCACGGTTATGTGTGGGCATACCACATACATATAGAAGCTCATGATCTAGGCCTTACTTGCTAGGAATGGGATATCTACTACATGAAATGGAACTAGTTAGCTAGATTGTAATTAAGAAACTGGAAATAAAGTTCCTATAGCTGTGTAATAAGATGCCTTAAATTACCTGATAAATTTACATTTAGGCTCAGTTTGGAAGGAGTACAAATACAAATATGTAGTGTAAAACCTTGTATGTTGTATTATTTTGTATGTATTTGTACTTTTTCCAAACTGATCCTTATGATTTCATTGTCCTTATGGACCTTATCAAAATCATGTCGTTTCTTTTTCCCCCAGCAACAGTCTCATCACACAAAGCCTCAGTTTCTATGATGCAGGTTAATGACACTAATCCTCTGGTGAGGCCTCAACAATTTTCATCTGTTCCAGTTTCTCTAAATTCTACCACTGGTTTAGTCCAATCACCACCGTGAGGGGAAGATAAGATGGATGTATTACCAAGTAGTTCTAGGAGGAAGAGGAGGAAGCGTATTAGGAAAGAGACATCTGATGAGTTTAAGGTTGCGCCTCCTCTGCTTAAAACTGTACACTCTGAATGGCTGGTAGGATTTGTTTTGAATTTCTCATTTATTCTTTGCAGTTAGACTTTTGGGAGCTTTCTTAGTTTGTTTTGTTTTGTTCTTCCTCGTATTTGTCTATTTGGTATAGAAATATGTATGGTCTTTGCCACCTCATGGGGCACTTTTATATGCCAAGAAAGAGATCAACCATGCCCAGTAGTTACTGATGATCCTGATCTCTATTCTCCTTTGAAATATTTCAATCTTTAAAAAGTAAGTATTAAAAAATTCACATGTTGGTACCTTTTCATTAATTCAGTATATGCAATGCAATGGAATCATTATACTGTGAGTTAAATATGGCAATCCTGAATATCTAGTACAATTAAAAAAAAAAAGGAAGAAGGAAAATCTCCTGTCACTATTTGAAGGGGTAACTTGGTCTAAGAGTGCAGAGTTATGTCTGAAATAACTAAAAAAATTGTACTTGATAGGATCTTTTATATGGCATAGAATTTTGACAACTTTATTTTCAATTCTATGAGAATTTTTATGAAAGCATTTCATTTGCTTCTCTTCAACAGAAGTTTCATTTTCCTATAATGTCTCCTAATTTTTGGCCTAATTCTTGTTCTGATGCAGTTTCGAAAAAAACAAAAAATCTTGCTCTGATGGATAAAAGAACTATGGTTAGCTTCTCAAGAAATTTCCAACTGAACAATTTCATGAAATCTTTTCAATTTCTTATTGTACTATGTTCGACTCACTGTGTTTCTCTTCCATGAAGTACATTGAATATATAGAAATGGCTATAACAGAGTTTCTATTATTAGTAGTAACAACTACTCTGGGAGAAATGTTATTATGTAGTGCGAATGATTTAATAACCATCTTTGTAGCTCTCGATTATTTTAGCTTATGCTCCTACCTATAAAATATTCACTCATTGATGGGGCAAATGTATAACTTCCAAGGAACTTCAATTGTGCCTATATTATTCATCACCATAGGAATGAGGCTGCGAATGCTGCATTCAAATTCTACCTGTTGCACGAGAAAAAGTTTCAATAAATAAACTAATGCAGATATATTTACTGCAACTTTAGTGAAAATGCATAAATAAGATGTTTCACCTAAGTTTAATAGCTAGGAGGAGCCCAAACATGAATCTTTTTTGTTTTTTGTTGCGATTGAATTTTCAGGAGGAAGAGATTGGAAAATGTTTCCCATGTAAGGGTCATTCAGGCAAAGATGTAGTTTTGGAGTATTTTAGACCAAAACAAAAAGGATGTCTTTTGGAAGAATATTCTGAGAAAGAAATAACCCTTGTATGCTCTACTGAGTTGATGCTTTGTGATTATGAAACATGCAAAAGGACGACTTCTCTGTTGGGATGGATGATTTGCAGGAGCTACGAAGCTAGAAAAGATACATGTAGAGTATTTTTCAGTGGGGGTAGGCATGAGGAGGCTATGGGTCAATCTAATAGATGATGAGAAAAAGGACTCAATTTTGATGGATTTTTTGGTTGCAGTGAAGCCATTGTTAGTAACTGCAAGGAGTTCATTGGTGGTTCAAAATGGACATGGTTTTGTTCAATGAGACATGATTTGAAAAAGTATTGATATGGTATTGAACAGAGTTGAGCTATGTAACACGATTTACTTAATAGCTGGGAAGATACACCAGAGGCTTGCTTAATATAGTATATGTTTGGTTCTGTGGGTGCTTATTGAAAAACGCCACCACATCAGCACCACATAGGCGTTGGTGTTTATTGCATATGAAACCACTGTTTGGTTTCACCTTTTATCAAATAAACACTAGAAAACTGAAACACTTTGATGTATGTGCATGGGGCATTTGGGGAAACATCAAATTCATATTTCCCCCAATTCCTGGGCATTTCTTGAAATGAAATGCTGATGTGGCACACTTTATCTGAGGTGGAAAGCAACTTTATAGGGTGTTACTTGAAACACCCATAAAACGTCCAATCAAATAGAAAAAGCAAAAAACGTTTAAAGTAGAGTTTTTTTCAGAGAAATGTTTATCTAAAAAAACGCCTCTCTGGATACTACTACAGAACCAAACATACATATAATTTGATTCACATATGAATAATTTATTCTACTTGGCAATAATGTTCGTGCTGCAGTCAATAAGTGACTTCTAACTTCCTGCTTGCATGAGCCATAATATGTTTATTGGCAGAATGACAGAGATGATTCCTTTGTTGTCACTGGCCTTAATTTGAGTTGTTATAATTGTTAGACTAAAAGTAGTAGACTTCTCACTCTTTTTAGTTCATAAAAGTTACAAATTGATTTTCATATATATTTTATTCTGAGTACGATGTTGTTAATGGTATGATATTCTATCCTAACAGTGGATTATCTTTGGCTTCTGTATGCATATGGTTTCCATGATAATGGTCAGATAGAAGGGTTATGGATGTTAAGACATTGGAATGGTACCCAACCTGTAATACTTGGATATTCTATGTAAATATGACTCTTATTTTTATTTTTTATTATAAAGTATAGAGATGGTTTTGGGATCTGATATATCATGTATATCTTCTTGATCATCAATGAACTGAGTTGGTTGGCCAAACAAGTGGTGTTAGCCCAATGTATATTGGGTTTCTCTTTGATATCAAGCATTTGAGACATCTTTTTTACTTTTGAATTCTTGTTCATCCTTCCTGATTTACCAAGGGTTTCAAACTGTTCTGTGATAAATAGCATTGAAATTCATGCCATTAAGCCTAGTTATACCTTGGAAATATACTTCTATGGCAGTATCCATCTATTATCAAGAAATTGTTCGGAACTTCTATGTGCCTTACATATTGTTGGGGAACCTTTTCTCCCCAAGTTCTTTATGCAAGTACTTTATGTATGAGAATTGATTGGTTTTTCTTTGTCCCTACTAAACTCTCATTTCTTACTCTAAAGGGATGGTTTTCTTGTAAGAATTACTCTCTTTTTATAGATATGATGTCCTCTTGGCATCCTGAAATTATGTCTATTTTACTAATACTGTCATAATGTAGGACAAGACCACATGTAAAGTTTGCTCTCTCTGGATTTGTTGCACTGTTATTTAACATTGAAAGACCCCAAGGTGCAGACTAGCTGGAACCAACAGTGGGTAATGGCCCTTAACCTTGAAAGACCTCAGAAAAATGTCTGATACTCTCACGAAAATTGCTGAATTTGAACAACTAGAGTTGATGGGAACTAAACAATGAAAAATTGAAAAGAAAATAAAACAGAAGAAAGGAAAAACAAAGAAAATAATAAGGATTGTGGCCGGATGAGTGGAACATGAGAACTGGGG